TTACACGTCCACCTTCACCTCCATCTCCACCTGTTACACGTCCACCTTCACCTCCATCTCCACCTGTTACACGTCCACCTTCACCTCCTTCTCCACCTGTTACACGTCCACCTTCAACATCATATCTACCTCCCAACAAAAAACCATCAACCCAAAGCAATACGTATTTGCCACCTGATACTACTCAAAGAACTACTACTCCGAGAATTCCACCTACACCTACAGATGAAAATACTCCTTTCTATCCAAGTACGCGACCTCCGCCATACCTTCCACCTTCTACTCCATCCACACCTCGCGTCACGGTGACACCACCGCCTCCGCCCACCCCAATTTACACCCTTGTGCCAACATCGACCATCTACACTCCACCGCCAACTGGCAAACCCGCTCCGCCACCTACTGTACCACCAACCACGAAGAGGCCCATTGGCTATTTCTATCCGGTACCGGAGAATCCGTTCGAGTTGCCGCCGTTCGATGACGAGAGGCGATTTAGTTGAACTGACAATTACATACTACTGTTACTTTTTTTTTTTTTTAATTTTTATATGTATAGTATACAAAGCTATTTATGGATTCGCATAGGAGACGATACTGAATCTGTAATCGACAATGGAAGAAAAACGAAAACGATAGAAAAACTGGACTGGATTCTCAGTTGCTCGTATCGTATATGCGTGTAATCGTGGATAATAACAATTCGATCCAACTTGCGAGAATAGTTTTCCATTGATCGACTATTGAGAAACTATTGATGATGACCCTCCCGTCACGTTTGTAAATTTTGTACATCTAACACACGCATACAATAGAAAAAAATAAAAATTTGTATAAATGGTAGAATGTCGTAACGTGTTTCATTTTATACGAAACCTTTCATATACCTTTGATATTTTCAACGTGAAGTATCAAACACCTGATTCGCCAGAGGTGATCTGGGCAATCATTTTTTCGCCTACGACATCCTTTGTGCACATGAATATTACAAAACTTAATAATCTCGGATAAAAAGTGTTATCCAAATATAACTACGAATCGCATTTCTCTGTTGCAATCGATTCTCTCTTACTGTGCCGTTTAATTAACAATGACTTTCCTTCTGCGTAAGAATGACGATGATGGTTCACTTGCTTGTCCAATCATCGTGACATTGACATTCTATTATATTATCGTGCAATGATATATTTGATTCGAATCTCGTTACGTGGTAAGTAGCCCATAACCTATCTCCTACTACCATGTACCCCCACGTACGAAGAAATTTTCTACGTTCGTGATAGAATCCAACTAGTGAAAACTCCGTTGCGAGAAATGAATGCTAGTTAGTTGTATATGGAGTTTGGAAAGAACAGTCTCGTTGCCTTGCAACGTTTTGAATTTGTAAAATCGATATAGATTATCGTCAAGTCACGATTCAAATTTTATTATCGATCGTAATAGAATATACGTAATTTTTTTTCTTTTAATTTTTATACAATTATACCGTATATCGACGAATAAAAATCACAATCTTGTGACGAAGAATTAACTTAAGTGTCGTCAAAATTGATTTCGAAAAATGTCATGTGAATAATCGAAAAGGATAAGAATCGGCAGATTTAAAGGAGGACATGCTTGAAACAGGGCGTAGAACCGTAATCAATACGTCTCAGCTTGGACTTTATTCCGATAACGGTGATCGATATCACAGAAATCGATACAATTCTATTACCAGGAAATTCGTGATTGGAGTTATGGTAGTGGTGGTAGTGGTTTTAGTAAGTAATTCAACTGCTATATTATATTCTTACGATACTAATCAGAAATTAAAACTAATATCTCATCCTTCATCTTTTTGACTCGTCAAGATGGATTATTCGTTCGCAGTTGCGAAATACGTCATCAATTAATGAACGTAACGTTTAACAAGAGAATGTTCAACTTCGCATCTTCTAGCAGAAAAGGTTGCAAAGATCAATTTATTAAAATGTGAACGGAAAAATCGTAGTCGTAGAGTCGTAACTCTACACACATTTGCCGAGTCAGCATTTGCATGCACACTAAATATCTCGCTCTTTCGTTTCAAAGAGGACCATCTTTCGTATTTTCCTGCTATTTTCTCGCGAAAAATCCATGCATATTGCCGCGCTATCCATCAAGTTCAATGACTCGGCCCCCATGATCGAGGAGCATTACGTATCGATCGTTACCAAGCGCATTATGTTCCACCGTGTTAAAAAACATTATATTGCGCGTACGATAAATTTTTAACGAGCATTATACAAACAAGACACTTCCGTAACTAACGTTTTTAAAATATTCGCATAATGGAAGAATCGTGGCGAATAGAATACAATTTTCTAATTGGTAGAAAGTTAATTTTTAATTTTAACTTGAGTTATTTAATTTGAGATTTGTCGAATCGATTCTAACAACAGTTATTAATTAAAAAGAAAGGAGAAAAGAGGTATTAAACGTTCGCGTTTTACAATGACAAACGTTCCTTTCAAAAGTAAAGTTTTTTTCTTTTTTTTTATCGCTCGGCGCCTTAATGAGGCGCCATTGTGGAGAACAATGGACGTAATTACAATCTCGCGGATTTTCTCCCATGATTAATGCAACAGTCATGGTAGCGCCACGGTTAAAAATCAACAATTTCACCAAGAAAGATCTCGTTTGTGGATTCGCATGCATGACGGGCCAAGCGTCGCAAACCAGATTTCTGCGTGTTTCACATATAGGGCGTTAACTGTGTTTTGACACGAATTAGTTTGAATGGAATCTGGTTTAATGAATGAACGAGAACGATGGAGAAAATGTGGTGGTCGTTTGGAGATCGATAACAATTCGCGATACTGTTGTTCGGTTCAGAAAGAAAACGATACTTTCTGTAAAATTGTTCACGAATGAGTGAATAATTTGATTAATTTATTCGAAACGGCCTACTTTTTAAAATCATATACTTTTTCGAATTATACATACGACGTAATTTCTTCTAATGTGTAATGCGAAATTCCAATTTCAAAATAATAAAACATTATTTCTTACGATTATTCCGATTTTGATCTTGGGAGATAGTTTAATTCGTATTAATGAATGGAAGGTTAGAAAATGTTTTTCCTTACTTTATCTATAATTTTTCAAATTTTCGATCGGTCGTAAATTAAATATCAATTAAATAATTCGAGAAATCATACCATTTTCTGTTTTAGATCGGAATATTTTTGTACGATTTCGCGTCCGCGTCATCGGTGAACAATAAATTGAATCAGGAATCGAAGCACATGTACATCTTGCAAAATGCGCTTAAGAAACCGTCGAACTTAACAAAAAAATTATACAACTCCACTGTTTCGCCAGAAGTGAATAGAACCAGCTCCAGCATTTACATTCAAGATCGCTCAGACAATGAAAGCTATGAGAATCTGTTTCCTTACGACGAGGCGGCCGATCAGAATGTGGCCGATCCCGAGTTTAAGTCGCAGAACCTGAACAACTTCAAACTGAGGAAAAGAGTGCTGAAATCGGTGGACGAGGCGGCAGAGGGGAAACAGTTGTTCGACAATCACGCGATTGTTTATCGTGCGAAGCAAAGGTAGAATGTTGCCCTCTTTGTTTCAGATTGAAATCACAAACTTGGACATTTTTTTATAACGAGGGCAAAGATGGAAAAACGTATCGACAAAAAAAACGGGAGAAAATTTATTGTTACGAATCATTTTTTTTTTTTAATTATTTTTGAGAAATAATATCTCCTCTGAATTCGGATAATTCGCTCGTTTTAACAATCGTTTCGCGAGATATTCTCAGATATTCTCCAAATAATCGCCAAACGATTTGTGCGACGATTGTAACGCGGCAAAATAAAAAATTCGATATGGTTTCTCGAGTCGTGAAAAAATGTCATAAAGATTATGATTTATACAGCGGCTTATTTCAATCTTTGACAACGAGAAGATTTTTATGTACGAGATAAGCACGGTAAAAGGATATTATGTATTTAACACGAGTGTTGCATAACGACTGTTACACAATCCATTACTGCTTTTCAGCATTAAATTAATTATATTCGTCACATTTTTTTCTCCACGATATAAAAATTAATAAATTCCCCCTGGTAAACCCGCACACATTTCTGACTCGTGTAAATTTACACTAACTGATTATCTTCAGCTTCATTGTACCAGATGTGTACGTGTTTGCAGCCTATAATAAATCACCGTTTCGATCGTTAATCGTCGAGAAACACTTTCTACTCTTCGACAACATCTCTTTCGCCTCGAATATCGCTCTATTATCATCGATTATATTCGACGATTTCGATCCAACCAGAAGAAATTTTAAATTTTAAATCCTCTTACACGTCTCTTAATTTAGAATTGGAAATTTTAATTTTCAAAATTGAAATAAATTTCATTTCGTTGAATAACGAGCTCCTCGTCCAACGCTTATTTTTAACCCAAATTAATAAGCCGCACTGGGACGAACACGCGTTTATAAAAATATATTATAAACAGGCACAAATATCCAGCCTCGAGCGAAGACGAAAGTTCAGAGGAGAGTCGACCGACTCCTTTTCACTGGGAGTTGAAGACACCGCAGCCGACCGCCTTCAAACGTCAAAGGTATCCCCAGTTGTCCCAATACAGATACCCGTACGCGTCCAGGAACATTCAAGACATCATAAAGTATCTGACGAACGACGCCGACCTGCCGAATCGGGGCATCAAGTTCACAGGCGTGTACGTGAATCCGAAGAAATACGATTTGTTCCCCCCTGGGGTGGGGGAGATGATGTCCAACAGCGATAGGTCGGAAGAGGATGAAAGTTTTTATCCTTCGAACGAGGATCCGTTTTATCAGTATAAACCGAGACATCCCACGGACGTGAATCTGTTGGCCACGTCTAACGTCAGGTTTGTAGATGAGCAAAGTGTTTGATTAATTCGATTATTCATTAAAGATGAGCGTCAAATTGATCGTGCAATACCATCAAGTAATTGGTGATATTTGTTAATTAAAATCCTCGAAAAAGTGAAAAAAGAAAATCGAGTCTTTCGAAGTCTTTTGATTCAATTGACCTGTTTTTTTTTTTGGAATCTAAATTAGTTATTTTCAAATAGAATATACAATTGAACAATTATCGTCGTTTATCGACATCGATTTAATAAATTTTTCTCTTACGATTGATCGAAGGATATAAGAGTAGAAGTGTGATTAGCCGAATCGAAATTTTCCAGATTTTCGCCAACCGGTGTTCATAAGTACAATTACGAGTATGGACGGCCTATGAATTATTACAAACCGACATCTATCGACACTATATACGAGAGTCCAATTTCTTATTCCAATAATTATTCCAAGAAACGTAAACCGCAACCGTTCAGCGTGATGTTGGATATTTACCCGATCACCGACATCGCGGAGAATCAAAATAAGAAAGGGAACAGGCCGAGACAGGTGCCAGTAGAGGATTACGAGGTGAGAAGGCCGATTCAATACAACAGGGGGCCGAAATTTTATTCTCCGCCCCCGCAGACCTTGAGCGACGAGGATGAAAGGCAACAAATGGTATTCCACTTAAATCTGTATCCAAGAAAGAAGAACAAGATGACCAGGTGAGCCTCCATTACACTTATCCTCACACAAATATCCAATTATAAAACATATACTTCGATGAAATTGCAAGGTATTTTATCCTCCATCCGTAAAATTGAAGAATCGCTGACAAATAAATAATCCAACGTGCAAAAATAATAATTGCAAAACAGGCATTGGGATAAAACACTCGAAGATTAGACACAATGAGTAAAATTTCCATGTATATTATTTCTCTCCAACCAATATGCCTCCTCTTGTAAATTTTTTTCTTCTTTTTTCCACCCACGTTCCTCCTCTGCACCTGAGCGCATCGTCTTCTTTCCAATTACGTAAGGATTTCGCTTTCGCGAGTGACTTGATAGATTTATTCGCGATCGATGAAACGTGGTTCCCTTATATCAACCGATGGATCGTGGAATCGTTACGATGCTCGTTCCACGCCATTATATTATACCTGGAGTACGTGCATGAAGAAGATCGGTAAACTCGCGCGCGATACTTTCACCGAACGTGTCGGATAAGGTGAAAAAAAGGCGAGCGAAAAGCGTGGCTCGATGGCTGGTTAAGGAAGGCCACGTGAAATGTCACCGGTTAAATTTTAGGGTGAATGAACGGGGAAGGGGGGAGGATCGGGACGAAGATCGCTCGATCGATTCGGTTTCGAGGCATCACCTTGGATAATGAAGCGCTTTATTGACCGCGAGCAAGGAAGTAAGGAATTTGTTTACCAGAATTCGATATGTTCGAGTAAAAATTTGTCGTGCTACTTTATTTTGGAGAAATATTGTTGGAGGGAGAAATTAATTATCCTTTATTTTATGTCCTAAAATTTCTAAACTATATTTCTTTCTCTGCATTTCTGGTAATGTTTAATTTAAATTTTTGAAAATTAAATTTTCATTCCAGATACGATATTATTCATAGATCGGAATCCATGGCGCCGGAAGAACGGCAACAATTCGTGGATAAAGTGTGGTCGCCATTGGAAACGATAGCTAAGCACTTGGCAGTGGAACAATCGAAATTCGTGGACGATAAAGATACAAATTTTCCCTCTACCCGATACCAAGAAACGGTTCTTGACGACAAGGATGAGGTTAAGAAGTTAAGAAGAATCAACGATTCCGCCGAATCGAGTGACGATCCGGGAGAAATTAGCACGATTAAATCTAAGGTTCCCTCTAATCACAAATCGAATGTCGAGGAGGATTACGCGAGCACCGAGAAGTACGAGATTGATGCTAAAAAAATTGTAGCAACTACGGAGAACGAATGTGACGATTGTAGCAGCACCACTGTGATTTCCAAAGAGACGAGTATCAACGAGACTGAAAGTATCGACCAGTTAAAAGACATCGATACTATCGAGGGATTTACAAAATTCAGTGATAACGTTTCTTAAATTTCGGTTTTTTTTTTTTAAATTTTATACCAACGTTCGATAAAAATCGTATCATTAAAGGGGAAAAATTTTAATCTTGAGATTACGATCGAATCGTGTAAAAAGTGTTAGAAGAGGAAAATATTCATCTTCGAAAAAAAAAAGAATAAAGGATGATCAATCTACGAGACTATCTTAATAAAAAATTGTTACAACCGTTGAAAATCACGCGAAGAATTCATTAATGCCTTCCCTCAAAATATATTATAATTTCTTCTCGCGTAGATTATTGATGTTGACTGGATTGGACAGTCATCAATCTCCTCGCAGGTTTCTTCGTATTTTCCATCAGATCAAATTATCTACATAGCTCCACCTCGCCTTGACATTTTCGTCGAGGGCGTTCGAGAGAGCTCTCAAGATCTTGGTTGGTGCAATCGTACGTAAGATATTCGTTGAGCGCGATTGCGTCATAGGCCACGGGACGGTGGACGGTCTACAAAATTGGTATTCGTCGGTATACAAACCTTCTAATGGAGGAAAGGAACACAAAACAATATCTTCGTTCCAACATTTCGTCGCGATTGTCGAAATTGAAGAGCAAGAAGAAATTTCTTTCGAATATTTCAATTTGAAAAAATTGAAGATCTTTAGGAAGGAAAATTACTTTTGTACAAATTTTTTCGGAAACTTTTGAAGAGAGTAATTCGCTTTAAAGGTCCAACGTGAGTCAGAACGTGAATGTTCAGTCACGATTTCCATAAATGTCAATGTATTCGAATCACGTATATAAAAAATAAGACCAGACGTTTTTCGTTTTTTCTTCTTCTTCGTTTATGAACATAATTCAAATGTACAATGTTTTTTTTTTTTATTTCATCCTTAAATACTGAATATATATTACAACAGCGTAAGTTCTATACGGATAATGTCGCTTGTGAGTTTCAGATTCGTGTACAGTCTAAGAAATATACAATTCACGCAGCTAGTTAGTTAATATCGCACTTCATACGTGTCCTATTTATTTTGGCACGAACTTCTCGATCTTACGTTATAGCACCATTCGTCGACCGTGTGAAACAACTATAATACAATTCCTTGACTCTTTTTTTCGAAAATATTCCCTCGTAATCAACGAGAAGAAAATTGCACCGTTGCTGAAACATCTTTCATTGCGTTCATTTGATAGAAAGGAAATTCATCGATGGCAATTTATAAATATTAAAAAAAAGATTGCAATTTTTTCATTTTCATCATTTCAAGCATAATAATTCGAAGCCAATGATTAATTAGCTACGATTAATCAAATTGTACTTCAATATTATTTTCGATTGAGAAAATTCCCTACCACAGCATCCATCTTAATTTTCGTCTCGATATCACACATCACCTACTTTTCTTTCGATAATATTTTTACAACGAATATGGCATATTCTCTCTCTTTCTCTCTTTAAGTAATATCGCAGGTTAAAATCTCTGAAGAAACCTTTCACGAAGCCTTTCCCCCTCTTTCTTATACGATAGAAACCTTCTTCGGTTCAGTCAGTGATCTACATTTTTTCTCCTCTAATAATATCAGAGTTCAATTTACGTCCTGGAACCGAGTGTGCTCGGATGATAGAGCGTGGTGTCCGCACCCCACTCGTAAGGACCTTCGTGCGGCCCAAGAGAAACCATGGTGCTGGGTCCGAGCGTGGTGTGCGACGCTGCACTGACCATTCCAGGACCGGAAGAGACGTAGCTCAGTGGTGGCCGAGGCTGATCACGCAAACGGGCGTGCTTCACCTGTCGTTTGTACCTTGAACCAACATTCGTCTTTTTTACAAAACTCGAATACCTTTAAGATTAAGAGGAAACGCAGTAATATTCAGATCTAGAAAGAGAAGATGTTTTTTTTTTCGTCAGAAAAGAATGGAGAAGATCGTGAAATATACTCACTTGGCGTGCATGCAACAGAGTGTACAACTGGAGATAATCGCGGCAACGCCGACGAGGACAGCGATGGCCAGCACCCACATCTGCGTCATCGAGGCGTCGGCCCTGGCCACCAGAGGGGCACAGTGTTGCACCTTTTCCACGTGATACGTTCTATAAACTCTCTTCAACTCCTCGTTCTTAGGATCAGTGAGAAGGGCCTTCATCTCGTCCAAATCGTACGCCTCGTTGCCAACCATTTGGAAACAGGAGCTGGTCGAGGAGAAGTCCAACGAGTTGTCCTCCTTCGAGTAGAACTGGGTGTCGTACACGTTGACACTGATCGGCAAAGAAAGAGCCTGTTGCACCGATTTCTCGAACTCCTCCAACGTCTTCCTGACCTCGACTGGTGGCTTCGAGAACACGAACTTCAACATGTCCCTGTCGCGCAACAAAAATATCCTCAGAGTGATGTTCGTCTCTCTGGCTGGTGTCACCGAATTGTTGGCGGACACGATGATCTCCATGTAACCGTCCGCATAACTCGACATGGATCCCGTTGTCCTCAGCTCGCCGGTTTGAGAGTTCAAGGACAGGTGGGAAGGGATCTTTCGTTTCGACATGGAGGGATCGACGAGAGAGGTGAAAGAAGCTTTACCCATGCTGTAACTAATTGGAAGAGCATCGGAGTCGACGTCCAAAGCTTCCAGGGTGATCAGACTCGTGTCTATAGGTACGTTGAGACGAACGCCCAACGTGACGTTCTCCTTTTTAAATTTCGGCCTGTTGTCGTCGATGTCCAGAACTTTGACGAGCACCTGCCTCTCAGAGGGATCTTGTCGGTTGTAAGGCTTCGGGACGATGTCGCCCTTCTTCGTCGAGTAAGGGAAACACTTGATGGTGAGCAAATGGTGATCGGCCGTCTCCCGATCGAGGCGACCGTTCGATCTTATCACCGCCGAATTGTTCTCCAGCCTCTCCACGACGAACAGGCTCGCCTCGTTCCCGTAAACGATCGCGTAATCGATCATTCCGTTTTCCCCGATGTCCTCGTCGATGGCCTCGATCACACCGACCTTCGACCCAATCGGCGTCTCCTCGAGCACGGTGAGCTCGACGGGCGGACTGTCCAGATTTCGTTTGAAATGAGGCTTGTGGTCGTCGATATCGTTCACGATCACTTGCAACACCCTGGTCGCCTGCTGGGGTGGACTTCCTAGATCCTGAGCGACCAATATCAACGTGTAACTGTCCTTCGTCTCTCTGTCCAACAATTTCCTCGTCGTGATCAAACCAGTCTCGCTGTTTATCCTGAACGCGCTCGCGTCTTTACCGAAATTTCCGTCCTCCAAAAATTTAAACGTGATCTTCCCATTCGGCAAGTTGGGGTCGTCCGGGTCCGAGGCGACCACTTGAAACACAGGGCTGCCCACGGTCGAATTCTCCGATATGTAAGCTACCTCCTCGAGCGTTGGCCTGATGAACAACGGCACGCCGTCGTTGCTGACCACGTCTCCGATGTAAAGAGTCAGAATCACGTCCGAGTATAGTTCCGGCTCTCCTCCGTCCTCGCCTCTGATTCGCATCACGTACGGCTCCGTTCTACCCTTCCCTGTCAACGCTCGAGCCGAGTAAATCTCCCCCGTCGTACGATTTATTTCGAACAATCCTAGAATTGTTATCACGTTGATCACGTGGCAAGACAAAGGCGAAGAGAAAAGTAAATTGCTTTTACCGCTCGCTTCACCCTCGTCGATGATCTCGTAGGTGATTGCCCCGCCTTTATCTTCGTCCGGATCGGTGGCGGTGATATTGACAACACTGACGCCCGACGGGGCATTCTCGGGGATCACGGCTGTGTAAGCCTCCTGCTCGAACGTAGGCGCGTTGTCGTTCACGTCTAGAACGTCGACTGTCACCAAAGCTCTGGTGCTTCTTTGCTCCGCACCGCCTTGGGGCATGTCGGAGGCGACCACGTAGAAACGAAGAACCGATTGCTTCTCTCTGTCGAGGGTCGTGTTGGTGGCGATCTGAATGTTCACGAGTGAATAATTCATTTGATTTCGTTTATATATATATATATATATTTTTAGAGTGAGATTAAATTATCTTATTCACCTGGATGTTGCCGGTTATTGGCTCCACCTCGAACATGTTAGCATTTTCTCCGATCAAGGAGTATCTCACTTCGCCGTATCCTCTTCTAACTTCCTGCTCCGTGTTCGAACTATCCATGTCCGTGGCTTTGACGTTTAACACGATCTTGGAAGGTTTCTCCGATTCCAGCACCGAAATTTTGTAATCCTTTTGGCCGAACACGGGATTGTTGTCGTTCGTGTCCTGCACTTCCACGATAACGTTCGCTTCGGACATTTTTCGCGTAATCTCGTAGTCTCTCGCCAGTGCTCGTACTTTAAACTGAATGAACTGAAAAGAAAACATTGAATTTTTCCTCTCGATTTAAAGAAAAAGTAGATTCACACCAAATTTGATACCTTTTGATTGAGAGCTTCGTAGTCCAATCTTTTGCTCAAAACGACGTTTCCACTCTGGACACCGACGTTCACGTATCCTTCATCGTCGTCTTCCCTCACCAACTCGAATCTTTGCACGGGATATCCGGTGGTGGGTTCCTTCGCCGACAGCATCAGCAGAGTGGTTCCAAGGGGTTGCTCTTCGGGCACGGAAATCCTGATTGTCGGGTTGTTAGGCGACCATCCGGGATTGGTGAAGGTTGGATTGTCATCGCTGTAAGCTTGAATGTATATCGTCACCTCGACCCTCGTGATCTGCCTCTCTTTGTCGACCACGGCGTTCAGATCTTGCACTTGAACGGTCAGAATGACCACCGCGGCGACTTGATAATCCAACACGCGATTCACAGTTATTAAACCCGTAGTGGAGTTTATTCGAAAAGCAGTCTTGTAATCGTAAGGAGCTGTATTCTTGAGAGCCACGCCAGTCTTGTCCACGGCTCTTATGGGCTCCACTATGGAATACTCCAGATAAGCATCCGAGTCCGAATCTGTTGCCGCTACCTTCAATACAGGCTCGCCTGTGAAGAATTAGAGTTGGAACGAGTTTTTATATATTTTTTAAATCGTAGAAAATTGTTAAATTTACCTATCGCCGCTCTTTCAGACACGTAGACGAGATACGTCGACTCGTTGAACATCGGCGGTTTGTTGTTCACGTCTATCATGTTGACCGTGACGGTGGTGGTTGCAGTTTCTCGAACGGGTGTGCCCGAATCTATGGCGTAAACTATCACTTCGTATTTTTCTCCACCGCTTTCCAGATCCAAACGGGCGTCAGGCGAGACCGTAATAACGCCAGAACTGCGATCGACAAACAATTTTTTTTAATTTTTCCTTTGGTTCATTTTTTTTTTTTTTTTGCAAAAGTAAAAATTACTGCAAATTACCTAGAATCTATAACAAAATTATCCTTAGCGCCGGAAGCGATGTGGTACTGTAACAAGCTGTCTCTCCCGTCAGGGTCGTTCGCCACGACTCTAATGACTTCCGTTCCAGGCGAGGCGTTCTCCAGCAACCTTGCTCGATAAGTGCTGGGTCCTGGTAAATTAGACTTGTAATTTCCACGGAAGATGGGTTTCTGGTTTCCAGGTACCCCCACTCTCACCGACAGTCTCGTTTCGGAGAACAATGGCGGCGTTCCAGCATCCGTAGCTCGAATCGCCAACTCGTAGATCCCTCTCTCCGTGTCGTCTGAACGCACAGCTTTCGCCATTGTCACTTCTCCGCTGTCTCGATTTACCTGTAAAAATTCATCGTTAATCTTTCCCCAAAGGGAACAATATTTATCGATCTCTCTAAGAGAAAATTTTCTTCAAGACGATTCTCCCACCTTGAAAACATCGTTCGTCATACTGTTATGCGAACTTATGGAGTACGTCACTCTTCCATTTCCTTGTGTCGGCCCGTCAGCATCCGTCGCTCTGACGAACATCTGAGGATCGAAACTCGTCGCCCCTTCTCGAACCGTTCTCGTGTATTCCTTCTGCTCGAACGTAGGCTTATTGTCGTTGACATCCTCCAATTCTATCAAAATATTCACCGCTGACACTCTTCCGCCCCCGTCTCTCGCCTCCATCGTCAACGAATACGATTTCTGAGCCTCGTAGTCCAACGCCTTGGACACCGAGATCCCTCCACTTTTTGGATCGGTCGCGAATTTATCGGCGCCGAAACCCCGCAACGTGTACGTCAACTCGCCGAAGGAACCGCTGTCGTAATCTCTCGCAAACACGTCCCCGAATAGGGTCCCTATTTTTGCGTCCTCCGGCAGAGATAATTTGTACACCGACTGGGAGAACTCTGGGCTGTGGTCGTTCGCGTCTTTCAATTGCACGTGAACCCTGCTCGAAGCCACCTATAATTCATATTTCGAAGATGCCTCATAGATTAAAAGTTACGAATGTTCGTCTCTCCATAATATAATAAATCCTTGGTCTCAACTACTGTAAATCCATACCTTGCTTTACGATCTAAATACACATTGAATCAATTATTTTGATACCAAATCCATACAAGTTCAATTGGATTTGGTCCAATTTCTTACAAAATAATAAAGCATTTCTTTTGGCCGTATAACGAAACATTATGGGCCGTGAATCGAAAATAATTATGGCATAATTAAAGCGAGGTGTATTTAAAATAAAATAAGACGTAATATTTAATAATTCGTACCACTTGGTCCGCGACCAGTGCAACAACTTCGAACTCCAGCTGCCTCCTGGCAGGATCATCCACGTCGTAATCCAGCACGCTGACATTTTTCGCTTTGACGACAACCGGTACTCGACCCTGTGCCTCCTCGGGACCGACAACGAAAGCTCCGCTTATTCCAGGATAATCCGAAACGTCTCTGAGAGCCAACGTGTATTTCGCGTTCTCCCCGACGTCCCCGTCGCTCGCTATCATGTTCAAGCCGGCAAAGGCGTGTCCCTGCCAATGTCCTCCGAAATTGTAATATTGAAGAACTTCTCGTTGAAAACGGGCATCAAATCGTCCACGTCGGTGACCACGATCGTCACGATCGACGTGGCGGTGTCGGCCGGGATCTCGTTGTTGATCAGTTCCGTCGCCTTCACTTGGAACGTGTAGATACCCCCGTTTTGCAATATTCTAGGATCCTCCCGATCGAGGGAGACGTTCGTGGTAACAAGTTTGCCAATGGTCGCGTCACCCTCTTTCGACACGTCGAGATCGAAGTGGCCCGAGTCCTCGTCCTCCAACGTCAACAGCAGGCCTCTTGGCTCGCCCGTGTCACCGTCCCGTGCCCTCACCGTCAGGATCGTGTGACCGGCCGGCGTGTTCTCCGGAAGTGCCGCGCTGTACGGCGCGTTCAGGAACACGGGTGGCTGGTCCTGAAAATAATTATTCTTTCGTTATTCGTTCGCTTAACCCTTTCGCTACTACAAGATGCCACTGAGATATTCTATAGGAGACTATAATCAGCCTGCATAAGATCCTATTGAGGTACTCTATAGGCGACTATAGTTATTCTGCACAAGATGCTACTGAGATATTCTACAGGGGATTATAGTCGCTCTGCACAAGATGCCACTGAGAAGATATTACAAGTGATTATAATCACTCTGCACAAAATGCCACTGAAGTACTCTATAGACGACTATAGTCGCTCTGTACAAGATATTAATGAGATACTCTATAAACGACTATAGTCACTCAATACAAGATATTACTGAGATACTCTATAGGCGACTATAGTCGCTCTGTACAAGATATTAATGAGATACTCTATAGGCGACTATAATCGCTCAATACAAGATACTACAGGTCACTATAGTCACTTTGCACAAGATATCATTGAGATATTCTACAGGTCACTATAGTCACTTTGCACAAGATATCATTGAGATATTCTACAGGAGACTATAATCAGTCTGCACAAGATATCACTGAGATACTCTATAGGCGACTATAATCGCTCTATACAAGATATCACTGAGATACTCTATAGGCGATTATAATCGCTCTATACAAGATATTACTGAGATACTCTATAGGCGACTATAGTCGCTCTGTACAAGATATTAATGAGGTACTCTATAGGCGACTATAGTCGCTCAATACAAGATACTACAGGTCACTATAGTCACTTTGCACAAGATATCATTGAGATATTCTACAGGAGACTATAATCAGTCTCCACAAGATATCACTGAGATACTCTATAGGCGACTATAATCGCTCTATACAAGATATCACTGAGATACTCTATAGGCGATTATAGTCGCTCTGTACAAGATACGACTGAGATACTATGAGCGACTATAGTCGCTCAGTACAAGATAGCACTGAGATACTACGGGCGATTATAGTCGTTCTGTACAAGATACCACTGAGGTATTCTATAGGCGACTATAATCGCTTTGCACAAGATACGACTGAGGTACTATAGTCGCTCTGCACAAAATGCTTCTGAGGTACTACAAGTGACTATAGTACAGGCGACTCTGCATAAGATGCCGCGTATTGTATGATATGACGAGCGATCGGAGTTATTGAGCATCGAGTATCTTTCTCTGGAAATAGCATCGATATTTTGTTTTTACCATCAATTCTTTTTTTCAATAAAACTGTCAAAGCAACTCGAATTGTGAGGCGTAAATGATCTTTCTCATTTTTGGTGCGGCGATTCAAGGAAAATTTCCTTAAGTCGATGAAATTCGCTTTGAGCGCGAATTAGGAATGATTTTCTCTTTCGAGAGAGATCTTTCCTTTAAAATCTATCCTCGGATTACCGGTTCTTATTATCGAAAAATATATATATATATATTTCTTAGAATATGTATTCAAAAAATATAATACATATAATTCAAAAAAGAATCTTTGAATTCGTGCATTTCTAACGAAAATTTCTCGATTATTAGTCTAGATTTATTATTATCTAGAATACGAAAACTATCGTTAAAAATACACCTACTGTCGAGTGAACGACTTTTTTTTTTTAATCGCAATTTTCGTGAATTAATTAAGTCGATCCTATCTATACGTTTAAACAACGATCAAAGTAAGACGCGTAAGAACGAAGGGAAAGATTTACCGGTTCCGGTGAAAGTTATTTTGTGAAACAACGCGTACAAGGATAATCAGATGTTCCAGAGTCACTGGGTAACGGCCCGCCCGGTTACATTATCGCGAAATAATCTTGCAAACGAATACGGAATGATCGCAAGCCGGGTGTACAGTTATGCACATCCTTGGCTAGAGGCGAGGCCTACTTACCTGAACATCGAGAACGTCCACGGCTACTGTCGCTCTGGCTTGTAACCTCCTCGAGACGTCGCTGGCACCGTCTACGGCCAGAAGATTGATCAAGTAGGAATTTCTCCTTTCGTAATCGAGAGACTTGGCTAGGCTGATTTGCACGTCGTATTTTCCCTCTGCCAACTGATAAATTGATGATTTACAATTAACAAATATCAAGTTTAATTTCTATATGAATAATATTTAAAATATCTAAAGTATCTAACAATATTAACAATTAACAAAAATGGTCTTTGAGATTTTTCCTCGATGAACGATAGAAAAATTCAAGGAACGTGGAAAGTTTCGAATAATTGAGAATAATATGATTCGAGTTCGAGAGAGTGTGACGAAGGAATACTCGGAGAACGAGGATAATTATGTTCGTATGAATTTCCAAGTTTGACGCAATATCGCTCTTGTAAACCCTACCTTTTCCGCAGAAACGTTGAAGACATCGCAAACGTCGTCGTCCCGGGACGCGGACACGCATTCCACGTGAACATCAGCGTTTACGCCACCATCGCGATCCGTGATCGTGATCGTGCCAGAAGGAACTAGGAGACCACCCACGTGTGCGTTTTCTGGCACCCTCGCCGCATAAGGTCTGCCGTGATATACCGGTGGATTATCGTTCTCGTCCAGCACTGCTATCTCCCTTCGAAGGGACACCGTGTTGGGCTCTGATCCCGCGATCCCTTCGTCTAATAAAACACATCGAGTTCTCGAAATATCATTCTTATCTCGTGATTTGGAATACGTATGAAAAAATAGTGGAAAATTTTCGAAATAATATGTACAGAAAGAAAGAGAAAATTTCGTTAAATAAATTTCAAACCCTCGTGCACAAAATGTATATGATAATTTAGAAAAGTGTAAAGCAGACTTTCCTGCTAACGTTAATTATTAAATATAAATACGATTGATCGGTTGATCGAAAAATCTCGAAATTCAAATACTCATCGAGATTAGAATAACCAGGTCGTTAGCATTCGTGTCGTACTCGTCTAATGCTCTAGATGTCGTCAATTATCCATTGATATTCCACCGTAACGTCGTAACGGGACACCGATAAAAGATGTATATATATAGTTACCCGTTATGCTGATGATGACTTCGATCAAGTCCTGGCTCTCCCTGTCTAACGCCTTTCTCAGAACAACGACACCGCTGTCCCGATTCACGGTGAAGTATTCTCCGCTGATCGAGTAGTGGAGCTTCGAGCCTTCCGGATCTTCTCCTTTCAGAGTGTAAACAGGGGCACCGGGTGGAGTGCCCTCCGACACAGCCAACCTGGCCATGTCTCCACCTTGCACGAAGTGCGGCGCCCTGTTGATCACCTGACCCCATGACGAAGACCACGTGGAGAGTGCGAGCAGTAGAATTGTCCACATCGTCACCTACATCAATAATTGTTTCTTTTTTTTTTATTATGATAATAAAAATGTTTACAATTTTTAGTCTATTCTTCAGAAGGAGTAAAATTGAAATGGAATTTCTATTTCTCGGTTTTGACGGAGGAGACTTATGGAGACTTCGAGGTTTTTAATGATCGCGATGAGATGTTTGTTCGCGAATACATTGTCTTACATTTCGCTACCATACGATTTAATTAGCGATTAATTAGCAATTATAATAACTGTTCATTGATATACATAGGGTATCATTAACATTAATGGTTTGATGTTACATACGTCCTCGTAATTGATTGATAATTATGTACAAGAATTAATTAATCGTTGAGAAGAGAATTAGAAAGTGTGTTCGTATATGAAAATGTTTAACGAGAACTAAATTCTAAATAGGAGGAGGAACTTTCATTAAGACGAATTGGAACAAGAAGTTTTACGTATAAAAGTTTTCCGCTCTCTCTTGCGTGACTCTCGAGCGAACGCTTCCTACATCGTGGTTCCGTCACGACTCCGTTCACTTCCGGTCATCGGATAACCGATGTATCGTGAACAATAATTATTATCATTAAACGTGTTCGAGATGACACTAATCGAAATTAATAAAACTTTTCCAATTCGAATTGAATTAAATTAAACAAATTTCTTCGCATACGACCCCTTCATAGAAATATATTTTCAATATAATAAACATAATACATTTCCATTCGCGAAACTGGTTGGAAAAGAATTTGTACAAAAATCCAGGAAAAGAAATACGCGAAAAGTAATTATCTTCGAAGCAAACATCTATATATATTTCCACGTATCGCGAAGCCATTCACTTTCCATCTCTCCGTCGATTAATTACCCACCGTGCATCGCCACCAGTTCTATCTAAAAAAGAAAAAAGAAAAAAAGAACAAGCTGAACCATAATCTACCTCAACAGAGATGTCTGAAATAATAATCGTCCACGCGATTCTCGGGATCAACGATCGCTGCTCGTTGGAAAAATGCGCAAGAAGAAAGGACGAGTGGGCAGAAGAGAGAGAGGAAACGGCCAAACACCGGGGAGAGGACGGAGGAGGAGGCTCTATCGAAGCCACCGGTTTCCACCCATGCGGATTATTATCTCTCGCTGTTTGTGAGAAAAATACGGTTGAGGCGAACCACTATGGCGGCGCAACCACCGACCACTTTACGCTGACTGAATGATTCGAAACGGGTGAGCTCGGTAAGGTCGGTGGAAAGCCGTTAGAAATCAGATTCCATTTCAGGAGTTCGCGGAACTGTTGCACCACCATCCGTAAATTGAATCGTCCTCCTCTCGAACATTTGTCTAAAACGCTCCGTTGCTCGAGAAATACGGTTTGGTGGATAAGCACGCGATAATTTTATGGGATAATTGATCGAGAATCTTCGGATTTCGAAGAGGATTACTTTTAGGAATAGAATCGTTGGAAATTCCAACGAACGAATAATAAATTATTTCCTCTTTATTAATATTTTAAAAATATAGAAAATTCGGGAAGAAATGTGTTTAAGAATTAAAAGCATCGGAGAATCTGCAACGAGATTTCGAAGAAAGCGAATGACCTCGATCTATCAAAGCGCGAGATGAGATAATCGATCGGATCTTTTTCTAAACGGGAAATAATATTTCAAGATCGCGAAATTTCACGGGCCAACGAGTAGCGAGTATTAGCGCGGCCTGTTACGATCTCAACTGCTGTTATAACTTTCTAGTAGAGCCTCCAGATTCCGAACAAAAGTCTTGCACAACGGCATATGGGATAAACGCAGTACGCGTTTCCAAGTTATTCCACCTCCGTCATAACTCTCACTTGGTGGACGATAGCTCGTGCAGAATCGAAACCGTTCGATCAACTACAATTTCCTTGCGATTGAATCGAAGCGATGTAAACGTGTATTTGCACCGCTTGTATTGTCGATAAATTTAATTGTTAATTACGTGGATTAGAAGTCTAAATCGTGGATATTAATTTTCTGATAAGATTAAAAAAATTTCTAACGTAATAAAGAACGTTAAATAAATCATATTACTTTCAGTAATTTTCATTAATTTAATGATAATAAAATACTTTTAATAAATTTGATGTAATAGCACATTAATTTCCTCCGAGGAACGCGATAAATCTACTAGAAACTTGATCCACCATCGAACACTACATCCACTAAGAAAAAATCGGACAAAACGTTGCGAGTATAACACCAAAGTTTCCAAGGATTCACGCATGGGCAACGAAACATTCAAGAAAGTCTACGTAATCCGTTTAAATAGAATCCGCAATAACAAGCCGTCATACGTTTCAGCATACGATTTCTATTGCAAGGTGTGCAGCGAGGAAAAGCACGAAGCGTTAAAATCCAGGATGTATGTACTCGCTATACTTCCACAATGTGTTTCGACGCTCGACCAAAGAAACTGTAATAACAATTTAATAGCAGACGCCAATATTAAATTGTATAGAACGATACGGTTGGATCGAATTAAATGGATTCGATTTTAACCAGGAAAAAATTCGCGAAACGATCTTTCATGGTGATTAACAATGATGAGGCGCAACATATATATTTTCCGAGTGTACGATAGTGCGTTTTCTTTGTTGGAAAAAAACGAGATATCTAAGAATTGTGGAATGAAGAGAGTGAGTGAAAATTTTTTTTCGTTCATAAATCTTGCGACAATTTTTGTCAAAAATCTTCCACGAATTGATTGTAATCGAAGAAACACATGATTATTGATCTATAATCTATTTTCTTGGAACGGGTTTTATTTTATTAAGATCTCTTCACGTTGTCGTTTTCTATCGTAAAAAAAGATATACGAGAGATAGAATCTCGTCGACGACAAGAGAATAATGATGACATAAAATTATTCAAATAGAATATATCGCCATGCTCTATTTAATAATGGTGATCCTATTACCCGTCACGTTAAACCAAGTCGAGTTCGTTGTCTTGTATTTATTATGGATTACTCGATGGTAACTGCCGCGATGCATGCAATTTGCTGTTTAAAGTTTAACTGGTCGTATATTTCGGTATATGGGTCATGGGTGATTCAAAACACGTTTATAATAACAAGATGAAAGCATTCTGCGCGGCCCAATTTCGAAATAAACATGGTCGTTACGTTTCATCAATTCGAAACGACGAAATTGATCCATCACTTCTTCGATGATGGAACGAAAAATATTGGGTTTTTTCGCAAACAGTGTACTAATTCGAAATAAAATATTCTTTATTCGATTAATTTATTATTTCATGATTTATCAAATATCACCACCATATGTGTTACGATATTAATTATTTATGGTGGTTACAGTTATGCTATTATTTTTCAATGCTCTTTCATTTAAATAGAAATGAAACTGGATTCAACATTTCGAGAAATTGCAATAGCTTTTCAATGATAAATGTTAAAAATCGCGTAGATTACAGTTCGTTACTCTTCGACGATTATAAAATATCGATCTGTAAATCCATTTTCAACAATATATGTAAGATTATTTTCTTAAGGAACTATCTTATTCTTTGCATCTTCCACTTTATCCGCTTATATTTATAGCATTGAAAAAAAAAAAGGAACGATTACTCTGTCGGTCGATAAGCTCCTTCGTTACTTGGTGATTTTTCATAAGCTATTAGCTCATCGATGCCTAAACATAGTAATGTAATCAATAAAACGCTGAATAACAACATTAAATCGAGTTCAATTTCACGGGCTACGTTGTGTGTGATAAATAAGCAAACCGGTTTCATCATCGGCGAAATATATTTCACAATTTATTTCGCGTTACGATGCCTCTCGCAGGAATTAATTTCTGTGCTATCTGATGGAGAGCTTTCCTTCTCGCGTTTACTCGCTTCCGCGAATAATAAACGTCGAGAGAAAATTTGTAATCTCGTTTGTGATCTCCTCCAGGAAATTCTTAGAAATACATACGGTGAAATGTGTCACGTCGTGTTATTAATATTTTAATTGTTTACTTTGATTAACTTGATAAAAGATTTTCCATTTAAGACGATTGCAAAACTGATAACGATGAAAAATATCTAAGCTAATAAATAAACAAGTCAAACTGGATTAGAAAAATGTTAGTTGGGAAGAAAATAGTTTTTCTACAAACAAACTTAACCCATATTCTTCTTCTACCAAATATTTGAAACATTTTGCTCTGACACACTTGGTATACCTGGTGTAACGAGCGACTCGAGACGAGGTGTGAAAATTACCAATGTCCACAATCCGATTCACACGTTAAGAAAACTCATTCACGCGCGCGCCTTTTACATCAAAATTTCCCAGAGAGAAAGAGAGAGAGGATTCCAGAGGAATGAATAAATTACCTAGATTCGTTCGTTGACCCAGATGCGGTCGGAAACCGCGTGCCAAGCACGAGCGATTCGTAATCGCTTCTCGATTACTCCGGCAAACGTGACGATTTCGAAATCGCCTTCACCTTATGAAATTTCGCGATATCGGTCAACGACATTGGCGCAGGACAAAATTCGATAGAACTTGCATTCAAAACTCAACTTTTTAATTTTTTAGAAAATAGATACCTTAAATTTTTTTCCTTAGAGATAATTAACGCCATCCTTCCTCTCCATTTATTTTCGACACTGTCACTCTTCCCTTGGGATAAAATAATACAACTCAATACTTGGAAAGATACTACTTGATACTTATCGCTACTCCACTGTCCGATACACCGTGGCTATATCCACGATTTTCTCTTCGATAGAGCGAAAAGCGAACGAGTACGAGCGGCTAACTGTTCCGCGGTGCTCGTACAAGAGCCCGGCGTCCTAGACTCGTTAATCGTTCGAGAAAGGAGCGGTGAGGAGCAGGGCGGAAAAGCGAGAGGAAGAGAGGAGAGGCAGCCGGTGAGAGGAAGAAAAAAAAACCGTTATGGAAGGCCCCTTCCACCGTTCCCCGCCATTACGTTACGCGGCTGGAATCCTGACACTGTGTGACCAGGT